TCCGACTGATCGATGGAGTCGTCAATTGATGTCTATCAGCCTTGCCAATGCCAAGACCCGTCAACTTGGCACCGGGGCGGCAACTCTTGTACTCCCATGCGGCTTGGAGCTGGTGAGAACCCGGATGGCCAGAACGGCTAGGCGGTGCCGTTCTTTCAATTCGTCGCCGCTTTTCTCTCTCTGGATCGAAAGAATGAGTAGGGTGGTCGGGGCGTCCGGCACTGGCGACTCGGCTTCACGGCACAGGTGGTGGACGCAGGCTGGGTCTAGCGCGAGGCCCCGAAGCCTGAAGGGGCCCCTGTAGGACCTGTGTAGCGCCGTTCGCGCAGCGTGTCCAGCGTGTCCAGCATGTCCAGTATGCGCGAATTGGTCGTGTTGGACCTTGGGGGGTGAACTAGGTTCGGTCGCTTACGTTGGCTAAGATAAGCTTGTTTTAGTTCACAGCGGTGCGCCTGGCGACTCACTGCTTGTTATCATGCTCGTCTCAGCCGTGCTTGTCGGAGCCGTGCCCGTCGAGGGACGATCTTGTGTGTCGTTCAAGTGGCATGCACAGTCAATTGCCCTTTCTGGTCGCGCCAAGCAGGTGCACCTCGAAACGGAAAATACCAAGACTTCAGGGTGGCACTTGTGTGAGGGGAGACTGTAGGGCAGAGGACCCGGCAAAGCGGCACCATCCGACGAGTGATTTGGCTGGTTTGCTGGCCTCTACTCTGCTCTGCTCTGCTCTACAGTAGTACATGGTACATGGTACGCGTCGCTGGCCATCCAGGTTCCCAGTGGAACCCCCACGAGCAGCAGAGAGCGTAGCATACCAGCCCGTTGCCCACTATCTAGGTATCTTGTCTTGCTAGTGCGGATGACAGTACTGTTTGACTTTTTAATGTGTGTATTAACAGCTCATTCGAAGGCGCCTAGTCGTTCAAACTAGACACGCCAAGCGGTTTTCGGCCATGTCAGCTTTGTTCAGCGACTTTTCACAGGCCCATGGCCTGCTCTCCTGTCTCTCCCTCACCCGATTCTATCACCAGGCACGTGTGAGACACGCCGAGATGTTCCATTTGAGCAGATTATGCGTCGTAACATCGTGGTACTGTACAGCCGAGGCAGCCTCCCGTCCGACCAAAAGAGAGACACCCTGGCGCCGTCTAGATGCTGTCCCATGCTTGTTCTTCTCCTATTTCTTCTTCTTCTTCTTCTTCTTCTTCTTCTTCTTCTTCTTCTGCTTCTGCTTCTCCTTCTTCAGACTCTCTCGTCCGGGAATAGTTCCGGCCCGCATGGCCTGCTATGCCATGCGGGCGGCATGCACACTAGCCCTCATGACGAGAACTGAATCTCGGCCCCCACCGTGCGGAACGGCGAGTCCAGGCTCCGCAGGTCGATGCCGCTGCCCAGGCTGAACAGCAGCGACTTGGCCCGCCCCTCCCAGAGGATGCCTATCCTCAGGTTCTGGTCGAGTCGCGCCTTGATGACCCCCGTGTACTCGTCATCCTGTGGGGGCGTCTTTGTGCCCCATTTGCTGCCATCGTTGTCATCGTCGTTGTCGTCGTCAAGCCGCCACGCGAGCTTGGCCTCGAAACTCCTCTCCCTCGGTCCGTCCCTCGTGGGCTTGGCGACGGGCACGAGCACCGTCTCGGGCGGCAGGAGCGGGTCGTCCGCCCTCCACTCCATCTTGGCCCGGAAGCTCCTCTCGCGGACGAGGCGCTCGGCCGACAGCGCTGGGTCCATGGCGGCGCGCACCACGCGCTTGCGCCACAGCTCGAGGCCGACGGCCCAGTCGCTCTCGTAGCTGTACACGTTGAACCCGAACCGCGTCGCCACGCTGCAGTGCCGCCCCGCCATGACGGCGTACGTCGCGCTGATGTTGCCCATGAGCGGGTTGATCGTCAGCGTCGTCGTCAGCGGCGTGCCCTGGTGCGACGGCAGCGTCGCGAACCGCGCCCCGACCGACATGCCGCCCGACTTGTTGAGCGTGCCATAGTAGATCTCGCCTCCCGTGCTGAAGCGTCCGTAGATGCGCTCGCGCGCCGCGTCATCCTTGCTGCTGCTGCTGCCGCCGGTCGCTTGCGTGTTTGTGCTTGTGACTGCGTGGAAGTGCCCGTTGTCATCCGTCTCTTCGGCATCGCCGCCAAAATTGTAGATGCCGCGTAGGCCGAGAAGGCCGCCGTCGGAGGAGGCGAGGCCCTCGACGGCGTACCGGCCGACGTCGTAGTGCGCCAGGCCGAGCAGCGTGCCTCCGCTGCGCAGGTAGTGGCCCGAGACGGCGCTCAGCTGGAGCTGCAGCGCGGGCGAGATGCGCTTGATGACGAGGGCCTCGAGGAGAGACTGCGGCAGGTAGAGCCGGCCATAGTAGAGAGAGGCGGCGGCGGGGCTCGTCAGGTCAAAGGGCTCGAGGTCGTCGAGGCTGACGCGCTGCGGGAGCGCCGGCAGCGGCTTGTAGGACTGGAAGAGGGTCGAGAGGGGGAGGCGTTCGGACTGCGGGGTGAGGTAGGCACGGAGGGGCACCGAGGAGTAGAGATAGGAGATGGAGCCGTCGACGACACCGACCGAGCCTAGCTGGTAGGACGTGGCAAAGTTGGGCGACGCGAGGGAGGAGAGGGTCAATCGGAGGCCGAGAGGCGTCTCAAAATTAAGGAGAGCTGCAGACAAGGCCCTGTCAGCCGTGACATGATCCCCAAAAGGGGGGGAGAGAGGAGGGGTTCATACCGTCAGCGGTCGAGTTCAGAGACGAGTAGGAGCTCTCTCGATTCCAGCCTGTCGCCTCGTAGAACGCACCGCGCACGTAGTCCATAAACTCCCGCATCTTGGGCGGTTTCTAGGTGCCGATTTGCGGTGGTCCCGTCAATCCTCCTCCTGTTATCGTGGGCAAGTCATTGGTGTCGCGTGTCCGTGTGTGTGTGAGAGCTTGCAATCTGGTGTTGCCAGCGATCGTCGATCGCGAATGACGGCGCTGGGCCTCGGAGGTGAGCCCAGGCAGTGTCGAGATGACTAAGCCAAACACACTCACTTCATCGGGATGATATGACGTTCCTCTGCACACGGCCATCTTCAACACCTTGCTGCACTTTCATCACATCTCGAAGTCTATTATCAATAAAAGGAAACCGTCGGAGGCTTCATTATTGTATTTGGTATCCTGTTGCTGCCTGCGCCTTGCCGTCACAGCCCACTGAGTGCTGCCTTGCTGGCTGGGTCCCTCGCATACAATCGATCCAGCTTCATCTCCAAGACCCTGATCTTTCTCCTGGCTCTCCTTTGCCTCCTTCTCCGCCGTCTCCATTCTATTCTGCAGATCCAAGACAACCTTCGCCCGCCGGTGCGCTGCTCCATACCCAGGTAGCGTCCCTGAAAGTCGAACAGCAACCGTCGCTCGACGATGACGACGGCTAGGTACGACAGAAACATGACGATGGCCTCGGGCGTTCGCGCGATGAGGTAGAGTATTCCGATCGTCCACACAAAAGCCTTGGAGGGCAGGAGAGGGCAGAACATGCTCGACAGATCGCGGAGCAGAAGAGCACACATCGCGCAGCAGCCGAGCCCACTGCGACTCGGCCTCGCAGGCCACCTTTTCGGCCCTCATGCGGAGGTGATGCATGCTGCCGCGACCGACGGTCTTGTCGGCCGGCTCCCGCTCGCCGGCCGGCGTTTTCTGTTGTGTACAGAGGCTGCTGCTGGTGGTCGTCGCGAGGCTTGTGCATCGGCTCTTCAGCTTCGTCTTGCTGATGCGCGGCGTCGCCCTTGATGGGCATCTGGTTCATGCTCGGGACTCGGGCCTCGGCGGCTGCGACACCGAGACAGGCACCGCAGGCGGGCTCCAACGTCTCGGCCATGTTGGAGAGGGTCATGCCGATCACGGCTAGAAAGTATGCTTTGATGGGTCCGATGGCCATGTTGATTGTTCTCTTTCCGTTTGAATAACTGAATGCGTTCTGCGAGATGATTGTGGTGGATTGTGTCCTTCCCAGTAGCAGTGCGTTGGGGCCTGACATGATGAGCGGGCATGGTGGCACAGCGACACTTGTGCGCTGACTGACGAGATGACGACGCAGCTGTCCATGTTCGGTTCGTCGCCAATAGCCAAGGTGCGGCGGTGCTCGCGAGTGGCAGGTCTTGAGCGTGATACCATCTCGCAATTGGCCGTCATACTGGCTGAACCCCTTGGCGGTAGGCCACGAATGTCAGCATTTCCTTGGCTCTGTGGTGTGGCCGAAAGCCGGTAAGATCCGTCTTGGCAGGGCTGTGAAGGTTGCGATGGATGCGTCGACTTCAAGCAGCAACTGTCAATGGAAGCCAAAGAACCACGCCGGGTCGATGCCGTCCGAGCGGTTCAGGTACCTACCTCGGCGGCCTTGACAAGTGGACATGCAATATTCAAATCATGGTGGTGCCTGTCCGACGATGAGCCGTCGGAGAAGCGGGACATCGCACCGGTTGTGAGCAGCCCTACCGACATCTTGTCCTGTGCCACCATTTCCCAGTCATGCTGTCATCCGTCGGGACCTCTTCTTGACTCACTCACGGCATTTTCCTCGGGTGGGAAGATGTGCAGTTGGGCGACGAACGTCTCGTCAAACCCCGCAGATGTTTCTCGCACCAAGCACGCCCAACAGGCCATGCTGAGATGGAGGCTTCAGAGCACGCATCAAAAAAATTGATTCGAGCGAAAGTCCTTTCCCTTTGCGTTCTGCCCATGGCCAGAGTCGAAGTGCCGGTCATCTTGCGCCAACCGGCTGCGAGATTTGGCTCTCGCCAACGAGCCTCTGGGGCTTTGTCCGACCATGTCTGTGTGTTCCTGCATTCGGCAAAATCCAACGAACCCAAAGCCCGTGAAGGATCAGATGCAGCCCCCCTCCCCCATCTAGCTTTCGATCTCGAACGGTTCGCCAAATGCGATTGACTCGAGCAGAGGACGGCACCAACTGGAAAAACAACCAACTGAGCATGTGCCCAGAAGCAAGGTGGGTGGGTGCCTTGCTTGCATTGCTTGCCTTGGCTACAGGTACCTTTTGGGGTCCTTCACGCTGCAGATGTGGATTTGAACCCCCCCCCGAGGCTCTGACTATCGACACTCCCTGCCAAAGGCGCGGTTGGTGCATAGCCTCTCCATGAACAGAACGTCGCCCCGACACACCTTACAGATCAGCGGCACCCCGGAATTTCCAGACACAGCCCCCATGCGAGTCGCTTCCGCGCGTAATTGTCCACAGGAGCGCCTAAGTTTAGCGCCTTCGACCACATTGGTGCTTCGGTACGCGGGGAAAAGCGCGAGGTGCCTATTCTCAGCCAAGTCTCGCGCTTGCGTACGCGCATAGGCAGCTCAGAATATCTTCTCATCTCTCGTCATGCTCTGCTGCCCTACGGCGCTGTCCCTCCTGGAGCTGTCATGGGCATCGCGGCATCCCAGCCGTCATGCTCCGCCGTTCGCGCGCCGCCCGGGAGCTTTCTGCACCGTGATCCTTCCCACGCGAGGGCGAAATAAACCTGCAGGAGAGATAGCCGTTCATGGATCTCGCTCCCGCGACCGTACCTGCACGCCACTGACGGGTTGTATTCCCCGCCCAGCCAAGATCCTGCGACATTTCTACAGACCCCAAAAAACGGGGCAGCGAGAGGCGGGAACCTGTTTCTCCTCTCCTCGACATCTGAAACGCACCAGAAGACGCAGTCGTGGCTCGCTTCCATGCGCCTGCACCATCCCTCTGCTTCAGCTCGCTCCCGGTTTGGACACATGACCCGTGAAAGAGAAGCTATTTCCGCCATCCGGTCGTACGATTGTCTGTTTTTGGCGAACAAAAAACGCTCGCCGCGGACTCGGCTGAAAGGTCCACTGTGACCTGTCTAGGTAGAATGCGAGTTGTTCTCGCCCGTTGGTGGCGGGGCCTTTTCTCCTTTTCTTTTCGTGATAGCGACGCCCAGTGGCGGCATGTCTGGCGGTGGCAAACGATGGGATCAACGGGATTGAAAGCTCCAACATGCACAAGAGGGGCCTGCGGACAACGGACCGATCCGATGGTCTGCGGCTCCTTGCCGCGACCGGCCTTTTGGCCAGGGAAAGTCGCTCCAACTCTTCCTCCCCCCCATCTGCCGTGGCTCCATGTGTGTCAAGGCTGAAGAGCAGGTAGCCAACAGGATCGCCCTTGCGTCACGAGGGCATTCGAAATACACCAACTACGAACTGATGTCTCTGACTCAGTGCCATCCCAGTGACAAGCATCTCGAGTCGCGACAGAGGTGACCAACAGCAGAAAAGCCGTATACGGTCGACTCGCAAGTGGAGTCGACAAAGGGCGCCGTCACCATCAGGAAAATGAAATCTAGGTAGTGTTGGACTGTACGCGTGCAAGCGCAAACGTCACTCCCAAGTCGACAATGTTCGCGCCGGAGCAAGCCAAGGTGAATAGGAGAAGAAAATCCGTGACAGGGCCTCGGACGGCTCGGAAGGCCGCCGAACATGAAGCCTTCCTCGATTCTGCAACATGCACGCGCTCGGTTTCTTCAGCAAGGACGTGCAGCAAGAGCAGCACCGACGATGCCCCGCATCCTGCGACCTTCCCGTCATCGGGTCGAGGACGTGGGATGGCAGATAGATGGCGGGTGGGTAGCCAGGCAGGCAGGCAGGCAGGCAAGCACACGCCCATCACCAACAGCGTCACGAGATAGGGCAACGAAATACCGAGTTCGAAAACAGGCCAGCGTGAACATGCCCCCCAGCCGCGATGCCTCACATCATCCCACTCACGGAATCCGCCAACACCCCGTCCTGGCTCTCGCTTGTCTCCTGCTGAGCGCCCGCCCATGCCCGCGTCTGCGCCGCGGACCAACGTCGTCCCCCTCGTCCCATCGCCTCGCTTCGCAAGGATCACAACCTTACTCGGCACTTTGCCATGCCCAGCTCCCCCCTTGTACTTGCATCGTCGCCGTGTTCGTCCGCAAGAAGGCCTCTCGTTGGGGCCGCTTCTGAAACATGAAACAAACGCAGGTCCAGCCCGCACATGGTCCCCCTCCAGGATTCATCCAGCTGCATTCGACAACTTCAGCTGCACCGGGCGTCGAGTTTGACACCCCCCTTCCCAAGAATCAAGAAACGGACTACCTCCTGCCCCCCGTGCATCAACGGTAGCCTCCCTACATCGTGTACCCGTTGGCCAGATCCCTGACCGCCCGACCGCAGGACCAGGCCCAGACCGTCTCCCTTTTCTCGTCCCTCTCTGCCAGCTGATGCCCAGGCGTCATGGCACCGGTGCTGTTGGGGGCGTTCAGCTTGGGGCAAAGCGGCCGCGGACCCCGGCAGCCGGCCTGGTTCGCGGCAGAGGGAAAAAGGAAAAGAAGCAACAATGCGCGAGATTTCTTCCCGCAACACGGGGGGCGGAAACGGGAAACGGAAAGCGGGACAGTCGGAGACGAACAGCGGTCGCTTGATCCTGCTGCTCTTCCGGGTGCCTGGGTGGAAATCGAGACCGGCCAGTTCAGCCTCGGTCGCTGCCTTGCCATCTCGTTCGGGCCAGCGTGGCGTGTGGCCTGATTGAAGACCTAGGTCGCGCGGCCCGGGCCGTTACGAGGTCTGTGGCTCTAATCGTCGTCTTGTTTCGCTGCTATACGCTTGGTCAAGACGGGAGATGTCACACACTCTCTCTCTCTCTCTCTCTCTCTCTCTCTCTCTCTCTCTCTCTCTGATGCCCTGTCGCTCACTGCCGCAAGCCCACACATTGCCAGAAAGCAGAAAGATGAACGGAAATCATGTTGAAAAAGACAAAATAAACTGTAGCATGTTCGTCGCAAAGACTCTGGTCTACCCGAGGAACATGTTCCTGCGAGAGTCTCTTCCCTTGTTGCCATCAACGCCCCGTGTACACCCAATCTCTCGCGCAAACTTTTCTTGTACTGCTACACGGTTTAGGACGGCATCTCTTTCCCACTCTCCTCTCCAGTAAAAGCCCAAAAGCCCTCTCTCCATGATTAGGTTCGCACTCATTATTGTTGGGGGGTCGACACGGAAACGGCTGGTGGGGTTGCTGATGTTGTCGACGTCTGGGGGACGACGAACCGCCCGCGAGGGCTCTTAGAGTCGCTGTCTTCGGACTCGTCGTCGCTGTTGCGGTGGCTGGGGCTGTCTTGGTCGCCTCTGCGGCGGTTGGTCATCTGTAGCGGGTCAGCACATGCATCAAGTCTTCAACAGAGATTCAATCGTGACGCACCCAAGAACGAACACCGCCGATGAGTCCCAGTGTGTAACCTCTGATGAACTGGTCGCCAACCGGCGTGCCTCCTGGCGTTGTCGGCGGAACGTCGATGCTGAGACGTGACTTTGCCGCGTTGGCAGCCGAGCCGGGAGTCAGGATGCCGTCGTTCGGGCCGTAGAAACCGTTCGGGGCGAGAGAGTTGCGCACCGACGGTGCGGGGCTCTGCGGACGCGAGGCAGGCCAGTACTGACGCAGCTCGCGGCTGAGCTCCTGGCCGGTCGTCGACCAGTTGGTGCGGATGTTATCGCGCAGATCCTGGACATGGCGCTTGAGATCGAGCTCGTTCTTCTTGAGCCAGCTCACGTTGAGCTCCTGGCGTGAGGCGCCGCGCTTGAATTGGCGGGCAATGTACTTTTCGTAATCGCGGACGATCCTAAGAAAAAAAAAAATGTGGTCAGCTCGGAGCCATACTAGTACGTCTGGATCTCCTGGGTACTCACTTGGTGATGATGCCCGTGGTGCTGACGCCTTCAGTGCGCTGGGTTACAAGGAACTTGCCCTGCTCCTTGATGGGCTTGTAAATGTCGTCGCCCTCGTCGGCGCCGTAGGGAAGATCGTCGTGCGCAACGTAATCAATCTGGTGCTTCTCAAGGAACTCCGTCGTCACGATCCAGGGGCAGTTGTCAATGACCTCATCCACCCACTTGCAGTGCCTCAGCGTCTCGGCACGCTCGTTGCCGGAGAGAACGGTCAGGCCCTTGCGCTTGTGGGTCTCGACATCGCCAGTGACACCGACGAGGAGGTATGTGTTGGGGAAGGTCTTTTTGGCCTGCTCGAGCTGTCGCATGTGGCTGGATGAAGAGGTCTTTGGTCAGCGCCCATTTTCACGTGGAAGGGGTCGATTGGTCGACGAGAAACATACCCAAGATGGAACAAATCGAAGACGCCGTCGGCGTACACCCTCACGGGTCGCCCGACGGGCGGGTCGTTGGTCCTGAAGCCGACGGGGTGCACAATGCCAGAAGGCGGAGGCGCCATGCCCTCGGCCTCCCTGGTGGGGAAGCCATCCTTGAAGGTAGGCTTGCGAACCTTGGTGCGACCGACGCGCTCGGCAATGTCGACGCTGGCCTCGGTGGTGTCGCTGGGCTCACCAGGGTCGACGACGTGGTCGGCGTACTCTTGAGCACGATCCGAATTGGCGCGTTGCCTCTTAGACGGGTGGGCGGCAGCAGAGTTTGAGTCTGTCTTTCGGTTGCCGAGGGAGGTCGATTCGGGAGCGGTGCTGTCGCCCTCTTCGCCCGAGGCATCGCGTGACGGGGCCTGGAGACCAGAGTCGACCATGTCGCTTGAGCCGGGCATGTTGGTGTTGTTGCGCTTCCGCTTGCCGGCGGCGGAGGAATTCGAGGGCGAGGACATTGTGGGTTTATGACGGACGAAACCAGGGGTAGGGTCGACAGGGCCTGCAGGGCTTATGTCAGGTTGCAGGCGAAGCGTGGTGTGGCCGTGGGGATGATGCGGTCGTGGGCGAGTCTGCAGCTGCGATTGGGCTCCAGGAGCTAGTAGGGCGATGATGTCTTTTGGCCGGTGCTTGGCTCAAAGGTGGTCGCGGAGGGCTCGTTCCTTGGTTTGGGGGGTGGATGGATGGTCGAAGAGCAGG